TCCTGGTTCCTTGAAATATTTATGTAAAGATGAGTCTCTATTCATATTACTAAGCATACATTCACAATTATTCACACAGTAAAACAAAAGTAATACAACAATCAATCATGTTCATATACATGACACAATCTTTAAATATTCAGCTTATTACTCTTCATCTCTCTCTTAATGCTTAGAGTTCTCATTATGCACTTTTCACTACCCCTAGGATCCCTTGAGTTCTTCTTTAGCATAGATAGTCGCTGGATAGCCGCAGCTACACAGATATAATGTGTGTCGACCTGGCCCCTTTTAGCAAAAGCATGGTCAGGAGTATTAGTCAGAAAATAAGTGTGAGGCCTATGGTGCTCTTACTCTCATTTGTTTTGTGCAATTCAATAAGAGCATTCACCACCCTCATTTCTCCAAGACTTCTCAGTTATCTCCATCTTCCACACTCCCAGTGTACCTCTGAACTATCCATACTCGTCCTTATCATATTCCTTTCTCTTTATCTGTATTTCCCATTTCATCTCTATATTTTTCATTAGCTGTTTACACATATTATTAATACTTTTATCTCTCTATTTTATTCTAGTTCATTATTACAGTGAGATACATCTTTCTACAGTGAAAAATCCTGCAACTCAAACATCTAAAACTCTCATAATTTCAAGCAACATGCATTAAGAACTTATACCAAATACAAAATTAATAAATACTAACATAGGGGGTATTACAGCTCCTAGCCTGAGCGAGACCCCCTTCTCGTCTGGACGAGAGGACAGTTAGGGTAACTCTATCTCATCTTGCTTGAGCGAAATTCATTTCGCTTAAGTGAGAGAATTCCAGAACGCTCTCTTTTGGAAAATCCTACCTCGCTTAAGCTAGAAACCTTTTATCCAAATTCCTATTTTTCTCACACAAGAGCAACAAAATTGAGGGTGTTACAAACATTCTCCCACTTGGATAACATCATTAAATTACTAAGTCCATAAACTATGTCATTGTAACAAGTTATTAATTATCACTAAAGAAATAATAAGCTCTCAATAGTATACAATTATATCCGATAAGGATATATTTCACACACTACAAACAACTTATATTTCAATCACAATATAGATAAAAGAAACACAAATATCATTTCCACAAAGGTCCAAGTATAAAAAAAATTATCATAAAAGATATGTCAATAAAAGTGACGTCAACAAAACATATATCTCATAAAGAAACTAGACAATAATGTCAACAAGTAAATACAAAATTTAACTCCCACTAATCCAAAATATCAAAAGACTTGACTAGACCCATATGAACTACATGATTCTAAAAAGCTCCAATGTTCAAGCCTTTGATTATGGATATGCTAACATGCTCTTTGTAGCAATGTACACAATTCAAGTCTAAAACTCAAGTACTTTCTTTCTAACAAACAAATACTTTAGATCAAAGTGTTTCAAACGAGTAGAGCTCTTATTATTTTGAGAGAGAAGTACAACAGCAGTATTGTCGCAATAAATCACAAGTGACCTAGATATACTCTCAATAATGCGGAAGCCAGAAATTAAATTTTTTAGCCACATAGCCTAGCGAGTAGCCTCATAACAAGCGACATACTTTGTTTTCATAGTAGAAGTAGCTATAACTATTTATTTGACACTCTTCCAAGATACAGCTCCTCTCACCATCATAAAAATAAAGTCTGAAGTAGACTTACAGTTGTCAAGACAACCTGCAAAATTAGAGTATCCAATTACCTGAAGTTGATTAGACTTTGCATAGGTCAACATATAATCTTTGATTCCCTGCAAATATTTCAAGACCTTCTTCACGACTTTCCAATGAGCCAAACATGGGTTGCTCAAGTATTTTCCCAAAGCATTAACAACATAAGTAATATCGATCAGAGTGCAAACTTAAGTATACATCAAAATCTCAATAGCGAAAGCATATAGAACTTTCTCCATTTAAAAACAACTCTCTATCATCATGAGGATACTGAGAATCAGAGAGTTTTTCACCACTTTAAACAGGCGTGACACATGGGGAGAAAGAATACATATTAAACCTCTTGAAAATTCTATCCTTTCTGAGACAATGCAAGAGTACCACGAGACCTGTCACGACATATTTGGATGCCTAGAACAACAAAAGCATCACCAAGGTCTTTCATATCAAAATGGCTACTCAACATTTTTTTTTGTCTCATTCAAAGATATCATCAACATATAAGACAAGGATGATAAAATTGCTCCCACTCATCTTCAAGTAAATGCACATATTTGAAACATTTTTCTTGAAGCCAAACTTCAAGTACCATTGTCTAGAAGCGTACTTCAAACCATAAATGGATTTTATTATTATATTATTAACAAATTAAAAACATATGTTCTAAATTATTTTCAAAATAGACAACATGATTAAACAACATGGTTTAATATTTTGGCATCTAATTATTCTAGAATTAAATTCAAGTTATAACAAAAATTTATTTATGTTACTCCACACAAAATATTTAACAATTTATCTCCCACTTGGACAATATAAATCAAAACATCTTATTATTCTAGACAGCATGATTAAACAACATGATTTAATATTTTGGCATCTAATTTATCTAGAATTAAATTCAAGTTATAACAAAAATTAATTTATGTTAGTCCACACAAAATATTCAACAATTTATCTTTCAATTGGACAACATAAATTAAAACATATTGTTATTCTACATTAATCAACAATATGTGGCCATAACAAGATGCCAAAATAACCTAACACAAACTACAAACTATAAGCATCTTAACAATATAGAAAATCATACTCGAAGAAGTAGTGATATCATACATTATAAGATACCAATATTATGTGACTCAACAACTCTAGTAATATAAGTAGGACAATAAAAGCTAGAACCCTGGAGCCTACACAATATCCTACAAAGAAACTGCTAATTTTTTTTTTTTTTGTGAACAATGAAGGATAGTAAGCCTTCTCAATCTTATCAAATTTCTTAAGCTTATTGCCTAGAGACACTATTAAAATTTCACAATTTTACGACAAATCTTTGCCAAAGAATTTGTCACTAATCTATCTACAACGAATTTTGTGACTAAACTTACTTCTTAGTACTACTAATCTCAAGAACATTGTCTATAGTGAACTTTATAGTTACTAGAAGTATTTTATTAGAATAAATCCATTTATAATGTTTTACTATAACGGCAGCGGAAGATTCAAGTGTGGAAAATTTAGGCTCATTCTCTTAATAGGGGCAACATTAACATTAGAAAATGGTAAGGAACAATTTAACAAAGTCAACTAAGTCCTCATAATTAGTCCTGTTGAAACTTTTCACCGAAGTGGGCACAGATACTGATGTAGGAAATAACAAAATTTAATATGTGAAATGAGTTCAAGTGCAACATTAATATGCCCATTACAAAAAAAATTTTACTCACTGTGATCTCGCCTAAGGATCCCGGATTACAATAAATAAGAAAGACGAATACAATGCACAAAACTTCATGTCATAAGAATCTTAACACCGATAGGGTATCAATACAAAATTTACATAAACAAAACACAATTGCATGGTATTTTCAAATCACATTAATAACAATATGTCGATAGGATATAATTATTATTAATGCAATATATAATTATATAATTTATAAAAGTCCTGTATAAACGGTCTCACGATAGGTGGGATGACATTTATACAGAATAATCATGCATTCATAATTAATTTAAATATGTATGTTATGCATGAAATCATAATTATACCATAATTACATCAAATAATTGATATAAAACCAAAAAAATAAAATTTAATATATATTACATTCAAAGAGAGAATGAATAGTATAAAAATGTATAAATAATAGTATAATTATGTATAAAAATTTTTGGGCCCATAATTTCATCAATACAGTAATTATTTAATTAATTTAGACACGAATTAAAAATATCTACAATGCCCAACAAATTATGAAAAATTGTCCAAAATATCAAAAATTTAATTTCAAAAGGATTAAAAAAAAAAATTCCAGGCATCCTCCACGCAACACACTCTCCCAGCCTTCGTACACCTAGAATAAACCCATCAGCTACAAAATGGGTCCAAAACTCGACCCAGTTCAATCTTGCATTCTAGAGCACCAATTCATGCCATTCCAAAGCTATATGGATGTATTTTAAACAAAAAAGAGAGTTTCAAAGGCTAAAACCTGATGAAGCTATAGAGGATTCGAGCAACCCAGACAGTTTTTTCAATAAGTAGGGTCCACTATGTTCTTTGTGATATGCACAACAAAGGCCCTATGACTATTTGTTGAAAAAGGTTTTTGTTTAAGGGAATTGAATCAAAACAAAAATAGGACAATGATGAATGCAAAAGGAAAGAAAGAACAAATTCTCAATCTAAATTGAACTAAATAATGAATTTAATTATTAGGTTACGTTCATGTTCAATTTGTTAACAAAAGCCCTTTAATCAATTTAAAAAAAAAACTTCGTCCCTTTGAGAGAATTTGAAAGAAAATAATTTAGGATTCATAATTTCAAAAATTAAGAAAATGCGAAATTATCTTAACATACCCAACAAAAATTGACAATTTTTGGATATGATATTTATGAATATAAAATGAACAAAAGCCTTAAATTATTTTTCAAATCCATACATCAAAATTATAGTGTTTTGGTTGCTCAAAGTTGAAAAATTACGATGTGTATTAAGTAGGCTCTAATACCACTTGCAGAAATTTTATATATAAAATTAAAGTTTTGGATAATTTTATATATAAAACTAAATATATCAATGATTGTATATAATACAGATCATAACTATATATTGAATAATTACATTAAAAGTGTACCTGAACTACTCTCTTTTCTTATTGCTATTATCTCATGCTAGTAACTGTCTAATAGTACAACAGTTATATATAAGCCTAATCAGATGAGAGCAGAAATCTCTTACTTGGCACATAGAATGACCCAACTCATCACAGGTCATTTGCACTAAAAGGGCAATCACAAAATTTATATAATTAATAATAATTATACACATTTATTTATGTCATAATTAATAACAATATAACTATAATAATTTAATAATACTAATCCACAAATTAATATAAATATTAATATTGATCTTAGATGTAACATTCTTTTTAGCACAAACCTATGTCTTGAGAAAGAAATACAAATTTACATTTCTAGTGTCTAGAAGAAATCATAAAGGCATCTCTTGAAGGCCTTACTTTGACGCCTCTTCTGCCTTCGCATGTTAACTTTTACTTAACTAGTCTTGCTTTAGTTCAATGCTATCATCAGCTTTTGGCCTCGCGTTCATAAGAACCTGCCATTGATTGAATCACGTTCATTATAAGAAAAACACCATACACACGCCATGCAGATTAAAATGCATCTCATGCTAATCTTTGAGATATAATATGTGTTAAGATAACTGTTTATTTAATAAGTGTTTTTAAAATGAAATGATGAAACTTATAAGCAGAAAATAACTTATTTTAATAAACTATATTAAAAAACTTATTGAAATAAGCTGGAAATAATTTATGAAAATCTTAAGTTGTTTTTTGTCAGCTGTTTACAAGTTCTTTCAAACAGACTCATAAAAATCAGTAAATTAAATTTTCTTTCTTTTAATAATTTTTCTTTATACTCACACATTTAAGAATTGAATCTTTATCAGCATATTTAAGAAATACAACTATTTATGAGCCGTGGTGGACTTTAATGGTAATATAATTAGGATGATGTGTTTGATTGTGTTTTTTTTTTTTTTTTTTTTGAGAAAAACATGAGTAATAGAAAATTGAAAATAAAAATATAGATAGTATTTTAATTTTAAAAACTGAAAAAAATATTATTTTTGAAAATAATTTCAAAAACTACTATTATCATATAAGTTTATTTTTAAAAATAAAAAATGGTTTTAAGAATCAGGAAACAAACAAGTCCTTAATATACAGGCCTAGGCTTCTGTTACCTTCCGCAGCATAGTGTTCTCATTGATCAAAGTTGAGATGCGTTCTTCTAAGATAGCGTTTTTTTCTTGCAACTCTTTAGCTCTTGATTCCAAGTCATTCACATAAACCTTCTTTCTTTCGCGGGCTTGTTGAGCAGAGACCCTGTTCCTCAATAACCTGTTTGTAATATCAAAAGTCATATATACACTTGGTTTTATGGTTTATGATCATTTTATTACATTCTCACATTTAAAATTTGTTTTCAAAAGTGTGGCAATATGGCCTAATCATACTAGCAATTGCACGCATAAATAAATGTGAATATTTTTAGGTTTCTTGCAGACAAGGATACTCCTAATTAAGTGTCTATATTTTATTATTATATAGTCCCACCAACAAGTGTGTTAAAGATAATTTGTCAAAATAAAAAATAAAAAAATACTATATAAACATATGGCATTTAATGTGTTGAGAATTTAAAAGGGATACTTTTTTTTCATTCCTAACAAGTGCACCTTTGACATGTACATTTTTATTACATGAATATGATAATATTTTTTCTTTTGATTTCTAATACTATCTTCTTTATCTGAAAATGATAGAATAATCTTATGAATATAGTCGGATGGTATAAGAGAAATTCCATTACTTTTTTACATAACATAAATTTTGAAATCAAACTCACAATCACATACTAAAAGAATTTGAACTTTTTCCATTCGAATTCACACATGTTGATTATATTTATACATTAATATGATACGGATCCAATTCTTTTTCTGTATTTGTATTTTGAATGGTTCAGTCTATTACTCTACAATAAACATTCATTAGTTGAATACCTCAATTCTTCTTTAGTATTTCAAGTATACCCTGATCAAAATCTACAAAGAAATTTAATCTTCATGTGGGTCTCACTCATTCTTAGAAAAAGTACACATACAAATCAAAGAAGTGTTACACCTTATAAGACCCAATTTCTCCTAATAATGCTTGTTTCAGCTACCAAATTGTGAACACATTTGAATAAAATACCTAATACATGTATGTATGTGTATACCTCTTGAGGCGTCTATGCTCCTTGTCTGCAGGGTTTCTTCCCCTGCGGCGCTTTCCAGGAAAGCCAGTTTGAAATTGAGGGTCTGTCACATTATTTTGATTAAGGTTACTATTTGTAAGAGTTACTGCAGAATGAACACTAATTGGTGTGGCTTCCACATCTGGAACTGTGAACATATCTTCATCACTGTCTTCTGAATTAGTAAAGATCCCACTAATTAGTTAGCCATGCTTAATGTTCACAAAACATTCTCTTTACCGCTCAAAAAATAACTTACAGTTAGAGGTATAATAAACGAGGTATAAAAAATTTCTATTTATTATCATGTAACATTCTAATCGTCCAAAAAATCTTCATTTATTTCAACTTTTTTTTTAAATATTAAAAATTACAAACCAACCCTCTTAACAAAACAGAGGCAAAGATCTAGCATACATGAATATGATGATGCACTTTAGTAACTAATCAATGTTATGTTCTGTAACACATACCATTTTTGCTTCTCTTGTTGTGTATCGTTGAACGAGGGAAAGTGTTTAGCTTATTCCATGAAGAAGAGGAGGAGGCTGTTGCTCCTCCTTCTTTCAGCTGAGAAGAGGCTTCACCCTCAGAGGGTCTTGGAAGAGACATCTCTCTCTCTCTCTCTCTCTCTCTCTCTCTCTCTCTCTCTCTAAAGGGTAGCTGCAGTTTTTCCAAAAGGATGTTTGAACAAAGGAAAAAGTGTTTACGTGTAGTACTAGTACGTGTGCAACATGGGCCATGTCTTTTAAGAAATGGGTTGGTTTTAAAATTGAGTAGAATTAGTTTTAAATCATTAAATATAATTGGCATATGTGTCAAAATTAATCTTAAAATGTATTTTTGTTTATTAAAATGTGTATATAAGAATTGATTTTATAATTAAAAACTATAAGACACTAAATCTTGGATATATGGAACCATCTGATCCAACATCCTAAACCATTGACGATGAAACATGGGAATGGGGCCAAAAAGTTTGGTTCACAAATGAACACGTTGATGTACACAGAACCGCCCCTTTCCTCACACCATTCTCATGGCAGCTACACAAATGACAATTCTGCATCTTATGTGGTCCATTATTTCCATCTATGCTCATGACAGGAGTCTACGGTGCCTTTTTCAAATGTTTTGGTGCTTTCCATGCGCCTTCTATTACAATGAAACACATCAGACAAACTATATACCAAGTGGCTTGTTACAAGTTCTAGGACTAGCTTCCACAAATTGCATTCAATAAATATGATTGTTGAAAAACCATTTGATACTACAATTCTTAAGTATAGTTTCTTAAGCTTTATTGTTTTGTTTGTTAATCAAGATTACAATATTATCTCGGAAATTTGCTATATAACATTGAATGCAAATTTTTTATAAAAAAATTCTTATTTTAATTAGTTATCAGTAGCAGAAAAATTTTGTTTTTCGATACAAGTGATCTTGCTAGTTAAATCTTATTCTTAGAAGTTTGGCAAAGCATGTATTTGAGCAATGATACCAAATGTTTGGATTATTGAAAATTAGTTAAATTTATACGATATTTTAATCTGAATAAAAAATAAATATATTTTTACTTTTTTACAGTGTAAATATTCTCACATAAGTATAGATAAATCCCAAAAGTTCATCTATAAAAAGTATTAAATGAATTGGTCAAATACAACTTGATTTGGTGAGCTTAGTAAACTACAAACATATAACGGGCTAACAAAATAAAAATATTGAACTAAGTTAGAAGTTGGGGAATGAACGTTGACAAAGTTTGACAAATTGATAAATAACTATGTCTCATAATTAAGTTATTAATCAGAATTTGTAATTATGTGTATGAAAACGAAAGCAAAATTCACTTTGGAAACATTTACGTCATGAAAGTAATTAAGATCTAATTATTGACTAGAAAAAGGTTGAGGGTTAGGTTGGGCAAGATAGATAAAATTGAATGCACGAGGGCATGCAGTGATTGTGGCTTTGTTGAGAAGTTACTTTACTCTTCTTGTGACAAATGACATGGTCGATCTTTGTACAGATTTGAAAGCAAAGGCAAAAGAAAAAACAATCAATTATGATTACTTTAATGGATTGGATGCCCATGTCTTAAGCATCCTATGCATGCGTTATTACCATCAAATGAAGTGCATATTAGTTAAAACTTGCATTCTAAGCATTCACTTTGAAGAATTTGCAGATAATGAACGCAAATTCCAAAGAAATTACAAGTAATAATTTCTTCTTTGACTATCACAAAAATACACGTCAAAATATCAGCTTATCAAGCCAAAGTGCATGGCAACACTGCAGGAATTGCTGTGGCTTTGTCCTGTTATACAGCATCAGTGGATCGATTAAGTCATTGATTTGACATTGACATCGTAAATTTGATTTGTTTTATAATGTTTTTTTTTTCCTATAATAATCTAATAAATTAATATTTTGAAATTTTTCTCAAGTATTAGTTACTGATAATGTGACATGTCACTTTAGAATAATCACTAATATAGTATGACTATATTTATGTCATATTGTTTGAGTTCTGATAGAAATTATTTTTTAAAAAATATAAAATTAATTTATGAAAATTAAAATGTTTTTTTTAAGTATCAATATTTAATTATATTTATTAATATTAAAAATATATTTTTTTGTTAGAAACGGGACTCGAGAGTCCGAAACTAAATCGAAACTACCTCATCATCTTAAACAAACCTATACATAAATGGTTTTGATTCTCATTGATTTTACTTATTGTAAATTTTATAATTTTCGAAAATAACATCTATCTTATCACCTCAAAATTCCAGATTTAGAATGAATTTTTTCTTGTGGCATTCTTCATTTTTATGAGTGGTAAGGTTCATTAAAAAATAAATAAATAAAACTTTGGAGAACTAAAACTATATATATATATAACACTGTTTAATGGAACAAATCCAAATAAAAATTTATTTACAAGAATTAAAAATATATTTAACCCTTAAAAAATTGATAATGGATTAAGAAAAGGCTTTATTACATTTAAAGAAATATATATAAAAAAAAAAAGAATATCAAGTGAAATTCTCAAACCTCCGTACAAGAAATAATAAAGCACACTGCTATGAATCATGATAGTCTTTAAGACCCCATAGCTTGGTAGTTAATGCATTGACGTATAACACTTTACTTTATCCCAACCAGTATGCATCTTCACAAGCATAAAAATTACAAACCTTTTAATACATAATTCAAAACAGATAAGGATTGTTAAACCCTAAAACCTCTCATTTTCAGCATTTTCCATAAAGAAATAAAATCTCCACTTAGCCTGCTACTAATTATTAGATAGTGCTAATATTGAGAAAACAAAATTTGTATAACGGTAACCACTGCCAATTTTCAATGGCTCAGTAACCTTTAATCATAACATTCCCTGCATACTCACTCATATTTCCTCTTTTGCTTTCTCTTTTTATTATATTTCAACATAGTTTTCTATCATCAATAATTTGTTCACCCTACCAAACATAGATCCATCCTAAATTTCCACTCCTTTTCCCTTCCTTCAAGCTTTGTCTTGCCTCTCACAATTTATTTTCATCATTCTTCTTTACATCTAGAGGTGATTATGATTATGATTATGATTATGATTATGAATCAATTCATTGCACAACTTTGAAACTACTTATGTGTAGTGGGTTTTCTTATTCTCGGTAGTTATGAAAAAGAGAAAGAAGGCATCAGTGTTCATGAATTCATGGACTTGAGGGATGCATTGGCTGGTTTCTTTCTGTTTTGTAGCTTCTGGCTTGTCACATTCTGTGAACAAGATGGTATGTCTATATTTCATTATAAAATAGTACCATGTTTTGAGTTGAGCCTAACTTTTCATTGTGGAAAATTGACTAGAACATTTCAGGCTCGTATTTCCTTGGCCATGTTTATTTTTTCATGAGTTTGTTTTTAGATCATTCATAACATAAAGTCTTTAAGCTTCTTTTTATCATTTTTCTAAACATTGCTCTTCATTTGATTTAAAGAAGTGAAAATGATGAAAATGATTTTAGTTTTGTGGCAGTATTTGAATTGGGACAAGCTGGTAAAATTATCTAAGTGCAGTATGAAAAATACGAACTTTTGTGCTTATGTTTTACACTCTGATTGATGATTCCATTATTTGGATATCAAAGAAATGACCAAATTTCTAAGGTCAACCTTCTGTAGTTCCAAATGTTTCTCATAGACTTCCATGTGACAGGTTTCTTGAGTCTTTCTTGTGGTGGAAGAACCACTTTTAGGGATTTATCTAACATTTCATGGGTCCCAGACACCACCTACACAACCACAGGCAAGACTACCACGATCACTTACGGTGATGGTTCCTCCTTATCGAGCATCTCGGCTCGGTTTTTTCCAAATTCCAGGAGGCGAAAATGTTACAGAATACCAGTGAACAATGCAACAAATTTGGTTCTAGTTAGAGCAAAATTTGTGTACAAGAACTATGATGGACTTGAGAAACCCCCCAAGTTTTCTGTTTCTATTGGAACAGCTACATCTGCTACCATAAATCTTGCTGAAAATGATCCATGGAGTGAAGAGTTTCTATGGAATGTCAATAAAGATACACTTCCATTCTGTTTAAATGCTATTCCACATGGTGGTTCACCTGTAATTTCTTCCCTTGAAATCAGACCACTTCCTCAAGGAGCCTACACAACTGGCATGGCAGATTTTCCTAATAAGTTGCTAAGGAAGAGTTATAGAATTGATTGTGGACACATCAATGATTCTATAAGGTAAGAAACCACAGCATAGCATAGCATCCTTCTTTTCCTATTGATATTATAAGGTTGTGAAACTTTATGTGTATAAATTACAGGTATCCCCTGGATCCATTTGATAGAATATGGGATGCTGATAGAAGTTTCACACCCTTTCATGTTGCAACTGGGTTTAAGATTCAACTTAGCTTCAATCAGTCTAGTCTTGTGGAAGAACCACCAGCAGTTGTTCTTCAAACTGGGAGAGTTTTGGCTAGAAGAAATATGCTGACATACAACCTCCCTCTTGACACATTTGGAGACTATTACGTCATTCTATACTTTGCTGGAATTCTTCCTGTTTTCCCCTCATTTGATGTGTTCATAAATGGAGAGCTAGTGAAATCAAACTACACAATAAATAGTTCAGAAACAAGTGCTTTATACATAACGCGAAAGGGAATTAGTAGCTTGAATATAACACTAAAGAGTATCAGCTTTTACCCTCAGATCAATGCATTTGAGGTTTATAATATGGTTGATATCCCATCTGATGCCTCCTCAACTACAGGTTGCCCTCCACCTTGCCTTAGCAAACATTTCATTCTCATTTCCACAAGCTATAGTTTATTTCATTCACTAATTCTTTTGCTCAACTTGAATAGCAGTTTCAGCACTGCAGGTTATTCAGCAATCCACTGGATTGGATCTTGGATGGCAAGATGATCCATGCTTTCCATCACCATGGGATAAAATTGATTGTGAAGGAAGCCTCGTTACATCATTGTGTGTGCACTAAATACAATTTATTTATTTTTTTTATCTTTTCTCATCGTAGTAGCTTTTGTTTCATTGAAGATCTAATAGTAATGACCCATTTCAGGGATCTTTCGGACATAAATTTGAGATCAATTAGTCCTACATTTAGTGACTTGTTAGACCTTAAAACATTGTAATTTTCTTTCAACTAATTGGACATCATCTACATGAGTGTGTGATTCTGCTTATTAGGGAGAAATACTTGTTTTATATTTGCAACCTTTCTGAGAAAACTTTTGGAAAAAGAAAAAAGAAGCAATTATTTCTCCAAATTTAAGCATTTCCAAACATGCACTCTATGTTTTTCTTGTATTCACTCTCTAACATCCATCTTTGGCCTTATTGTTTATCAGGGATTTGCACAACACATCGCTTGCTGGTGAAATACAGAATTTGGATAGCTTGCAACATCTTGAGAAATTGTAATGCCTCCTAAGAGCATGAACTTGATCTTTGGTTTTATGCAAAGTGTGCTAATAACTGATGAAAATTTCAGGAACCTAAGTTTCAATGAATTAACATCCTTTGGTGTTGATCTGGAGAACTTGATTAGCCTTCAAATATTGTGAGTTACATTTGCCACATTCTTTTGAAATTCAGGAAGTTCATGGCTCTTTTAGAAATTTGAAGTTTTGTTTAATTTTTCAAAACTTTACTTGAATCTTTTATCTATAGTCTTTTGAATTTACAGCATAGTCTCAATAAGGTAGTATTAAAATTATTAATCTTACATTTCCCTCTTCTTCCCCTTCATTCACTTTTTCCCCCCTCTATCTGAAGAGAGTTGCAGAACAATAGTCTAATGGGAGTGGTGCCTGATAGCTTGGGAGAGTTAGAAGACCTGCACTTACTGTAAGCTGGCAACAGAAAAGTAGCTCAAAATACAAAGAGAAATATTTCTTCTATTTATTCTTTTTGTTTGTTCTTTTCTGTTTCCTAATATTTCTTCTATTTATTCTTTTTGTTTGTTCTTTTCTGTTTCCTATTCTATCCTTGAAAGTGGACCAATTACAATTGTTTTTCAATCTGCAGGAATCTGGAAAACAACAAACTAGAAGGTCCACTACCACAATCTTTGAACAAAGAAACTTTAGAGATCAGGTATTGAGCTCATGCATTGGCATCTCTGAAGCACGAATACACGAGAAATGTTGACATATGCGTGTTATATTCGTGTTTTAGCAATAATTTTTACATTTTATAGATTTAACTGGAATTCCTTACTTTTAGTATTTTTATTTTTTTTTGTAAAATTATTTTAGTAAGATTTGATCAATGTTATAGTAAAATATTCTCATATGCGTCCATAAATATAAGTATACTTTAGTAATATATATGGCCGTACTCATATCCTAATATTTTAAAAATTTTCCGTATTTGTGTATCATATTGGGACCAGGATCCTCCCTCATTTTTTGGCACAAAATTGTGCCCTGGAGTCAGTGTTCTTTTTGCACTTTAACTTAAGTGAAAAATACACTAATTGCAGAGCGCAGTTATTGCAGAAGATACTAGTCCATCTTATTTTATGGTATTATACCCAATACTTGTATCGATATTCGTGCAACATAGATAGACATCCTTAATTAAAGAACAACATGAATATTAATTCCTTGATCTTCTTGCAGGACAACTGGTAATTTGTGCCTTACATTTTCCACAACCACATGTGATGATGCATCATCTAATCCTCCAATTGAGGCACCCCAAGTCACCATAGTTCCTAAGAAGAAACACAATGTACATAACCATCTAGCAATCATACTAGGCATGGTTGGAGGAGTCACACTAGCATTTCTTTTAATGTGTCTTTTAGTATTATTGATATACAAGACTAAACAATATGAGGTCTCCCACACAGAAAGTATGTATATTCTTTGACATCATACATATATCTGTACATTTTTCTCATCAATCATCATGAGTTACATTGATGTCCTTGTGTCATATAGGAGCAGAAATGGACATGAGGAATTGGGGTGCTGCAAAACTCTTTTCCTACAAAGAAATCAAAGTAGCTACAAGAAATTTCAAAGAAATTATAGGACGGGGCAGTTTTGGATCTGTTTATCTTGGAAAACTTCCAGATGGAAAATCTGTAGCTGTCAAAGTTCGGTTTGACAAATCTCAACTTGGTGCTGATTCTTTTATCAATGAGGTTCAGTAACTTAATTCCTCTTACATAAAACATTGCATGTTTCATGTGTATTTCTAAGCAGTGTAATACCAAAAATGTGCATAATGAAAATTGAGACAAAGGGTCAGATTCTAAACACCAACTCAGCTCTAGTGTGATTTTTTTAAGGTTATTAAAATTTTGATTCCTGAACTTGACACTGTTTTCTGATGTAGTCTTTACATGTAACAACTCAATATTTTAGTCCTAATATGAGAAAACTTATAAAACTTAGTCTGGGAGTGGAAGAGTTTTTTGCTAGGGATTGAACCCTAAATAAGTTCTTCACTACTTGAGCAACCACTAAAGACTAATTTTTGCCATTTGCCAAAAATATAATTGTATTGGATTTTATTTTGTTTTAATGTAAGGACTAAAATGAACTATAAATTTTTTTATATAGAGACCAAAATAAGAAGCTATGGTTAGAGACAAGATTTGACTCCATAACCTTGAAAATAGGCAAAATCGATTTGTAAACATTTTTTTAAGTAAAGACTAAAATGTAGAGTTTTTTTAAACGGATAAAATAAAAAATATTGTCTAGTATAAGGATGAAATTTTTAATTTAACCATTTTTTAATAATTAATTGACCACCACCACACATGAAGTTTTTTATACAGGTATTAGATAATTGCCTCATTAAAAGTGGTTTGCCCATGTTGGCCTCTATTGGCAACTTAGAATATGTTTTCAATCTATAGGCATAATTTATAAAAATAAAAAATAAAAAATATATATATGCCTCAAGTTTATGTAAATCTGAAAACAATTATTCTATTATAAAAGCTATTTTTTATTGCCTAATTCTTTCTTTGATGTCTACTATTGTGCCTAGGTTAATCTTTTGTCAAAAATCCGGCATCAAAATCTTGTATCCTTGGAAGGATTTTGTCATGAACGAAAGCATCAAATATTAGTTTATGAGTACTTGCCTGGTGGATCCCTGGCTGATCACCTCTATGGTACTAAATGCTTGAACACAAATACATGTCTAATACTTATAATCACATATACCTTTTGCATCATTGAATCATGTCTTCTAACAATTCAATCAGCATATGAATTCTCTTTTTAACGCTGCATTTTTATTCTCTTAGGTACAAACAGTCAAAAAACTTCCTTAAGTTGGGTTCGAAGGTTGAAAATTGCTGTTGATGCTGCAAAAGGTACACATTAAACTTCACTTTATTTCCTTATTTTGCAAAACATTTTGGTTGTTATAAATATTTTAAATTTTGATTTTAATGTCTGAAGATATTTTGTTTAGTTTGGGTTCTTAAGTTTTTTAAAGTGAATGAGCTTTTATCCTTAGTCTTGTAATTTTTTTTATCTAAAAACTAAAATCAAATTTATGGCATTTATAAGGATCAGAAGTTTATTCATGTTAAGAATAAAAATATAAGATTAAAATGACTGATGCATATACTTCACTTTTTATTTAAGACATGTACTCCCATGTTCATTGATGGAAAGGGAACACGAAAATATTAATATTATTATTGGAAATTATGGAACACTATAGTTTGATACATCATATAAATTATCTTTCTGAAGCTATTTTCTTTGATGGAAAGGGTTGGATTATTTACACAATGGAAGTGAACCACGAATCATACACCGTGATATAAAGTGCAGTAACATCCTCTTGGATATGGATATGAATGCCAAGGTCTGTGACTTAGGTCTCTCTAAGCAAGTAACTCAGGCAGATGCAACTCATGTCACCACTGTTGTCAAGGGCACTGCTGGTTACCTTGATCCAGAGTATGTCCTTAAAATCAATAAAGGTTTAAATATGATTTTAATATCTGAAAATATGACTTTTCTTGAAATTTTATTTAAATTTTGTTTGTATTTTATTATGGACTAAAGCATATAACTTTTATCAAGGACTAAGTGCGCATAATTTTTATAATATTTAAGGACTAAATAAATCTTTTACAGAGATTAAAACAAAAGAAAAATAATCACATTTTAAAGATGAAAATGTATTTAAGCTATTGATAAATTAGTAATTTCTATGATCATGTAAATACATTATATTCATGTACAGGTATTATTCCACTCAACAGCTGACAGAGAAGAGTGATGTATATAGCTTTGGGGTTGTTCTTTTGGAACTCATTTGTGGAAGAGAGCCATTGACTCACTCTGGAACTCCTGACTCATTCAATTTGGTGTTATGGGTAACATAATGTTTCTTTTATTGTTTGTACAAAGGAGTAGAAACATTGGTTATTGTTAAAATTATAAAATCAACTCAACCCAAAAACTGATAAGCAATTAGGTGAAGGTATATGCATAATTTTTGTTTCTCTAACATTCCCCTTTACTACAAAAGAAGTTTGGGTTTGAAAGGCAGAGAGGACATGGGTTAATTTTCCTTAATATATATGAAGATTTAAAAATTCATTAAATTTATTAAAATTAGTTTTCTTTAAGTTAATTCCAGTTTTGATAGATAAGATCCTATTCATATTTGGAATTTTTTTTACTTGTGGATTGAATATTTGATTCTTTCAAAAATTTAGATTTTTAAATCTTAAGTTTTGGATTGGACTTTTATATCTAGATTTTTTGTCCACTTCTACTTTTCTTCTCTATCACTTCATTCATTACTCTCACAGTAGGTCATGAACAACTAATTTAAAAAAAAAATTATGGTCTTAAATATTTTTAAATTAACATTTTTATAATTTTTAATTTTATTTTTTTAAAATTAAAATTTTATTCCTGAATTTTTTTAATTCAGCAACTTTTATTCTCTTTCATTAACGTAGCACAAGAAAAAATAAACTTAATTAAATACACTTACAGTATAATAATTGTTAGCCAATCATGAATTGTCATATAAAAATTGCTGATTTTTGTAAAAATCATATATACATTTTAGTCTAATTAATTAACAATGTAAAAGCGCACTAAAATTAAACTCATAAAACATTAACACATGATAACCTTTTAGGTAGTCAAGTCATTGTTATGGACTAAAAGTGTTGAATTTAGAAAATTTAGGAACTAAAAATAATAATAACCTAAAATCAAAATTTCATAAAAATGTAGGGACTAAAAATATATCTAAACTAAAAAGCAGTATATTAAATGGAAAACCTAGTTTCAATGCTCATTATAGAATTCATGCACATGCATTTTTTACTTTCATCAAAATCAAATTTTGCGTTGTCACTTGTTTGTTATGCTAGTCCATGGTTAGAATCCTTATGCATCTTTTCTTTTCTTATCTCTTTTACTTTAAACATTGCTGAGCCAACACAATGGAGTAAAGAGGCTGCATGAAAGTGATTGGGAAATAAGAATACATGAAATATGATTAAAAATAACTCCTCTATCAGTGGCAATGTACTAGTTAATTTTATCTTCTAAAGTCACAAGACAAAGTTTCTAGCTTCTCGGTTGGTTGGTGGGAGAGTAGAGGTAAATATTGATAATTAGATATTATGAATAATAAAAATTTAAATACAGAAATTATATGACTTTTTAGTGATCATATAACATTAAATAATTTTTAATCTTAATCTTTTATGTATGATTGTATAATCAAGCTTTACTTCTTTCACTCTCATCTAAAAAGAGCTTTATCAACAGAAGCATCTCCAATTAATCAGAATGGCAAACATGAATTGCTCTGTATTTTCTTTCATCACTTTCAATTAAAGCAGCCCTAATCAAATATTTATATGATAATATGGCCCCTTCCTTTGCCTATTAAGACTGCTACAAGTGTTTCTCTCTTTCCTTAATTTGTTTGGCATTTCATGTTTGTCTATTATTCTCCCTTTTTCACAATTTTTTTTTCTCATAACTACCAAATGCAGGCCAAGCCCTACTTGCAAGCAGGTGCATTTGAGATTGTGGATGAGGAAATAAGAGGAGCTTTTGATCCCTTAAGCATGAGAAAGGCAACTTTCATTGCTGTGAAGTCAGTGGAGAGGGATGCATCACAGAGGCCATCAATTGCAGAGGTATTAGCTGAGTTAAAGGAAGCATATAGCATTCAGCTCAGATTCCTTGAATCTTGTCAAAATGAGAATTGATTTATAGTTACACATACTACATATCTAATTAAATTATTTGTCATCACAGAAAGATAAATATTTTGCTCAATCGTTTATACTTGTTGATTGCCAAAAAAGAAAAAGAAAGATGATTTTTATAGCATGTAATTAATTTTGTAATTTATAATATTTTATCAAATGTGATGAAGAAACCAATTTATTCAATACAATAACTAGTAGATTATAGAGTTGGATTTGGATTTGATCTTTTTTTTTTCCTGAGGAGGAACTCATACATGGAAACAAAAGAAATTATAAGCTATAAAATTGGCAGATTTCATAATTTTGTTCACAGACCCCATAGTAAAGCAACATGTTGTCCATTGGTCGAATTCGTTCAATGTTTTTAAAATTGAATGAACAAGAACAAAAGATAAACTACTGTTTAATCTCATTCAAGCGTGATGTTATTATTCTCGTAGAAAGAGAAAATAAATCCTACAAAACTCTTATCATGATCATTCATTTTTCTTTTTTCCTTTCTAACAATTTTTTCACAAGTTCTTTTATATTATTTTAAAAATTCGAGCGAACCAATAAATCCTGTCGTCAATTCATATAAACACCCCGTGCAAAAATTACTTGTAAGCCATTGAACAAGCCAAAAACCAGTTAACGGCATAGCTGGTCCATTCATCATATATAGATTCATTTTTATAAATTTGTAAAACTCGTGAAAATATCCATGGAAGACTTATGACCATTAAGAGAGCTTAACCTAAAAAATTATTCTTAGACAAGAGAACTTCAAATTTTAATAGTTGTCTTAAAAAGAAGTCTTATAGTTGCCTTACGTGGATACTTAAGTAAAATAAAAGTCATCTTCCCCAATCCTTTCTTTCCCTCCTATCCCTCCCTATTTCCCCTATTGAAGAATCTCATCCAGTTTTCTCCTCAAACCTAAAACCACGTAATGCTTGTGTCTCAAGTTGGCAATGGTACAAATTTGTTGCGTTAGTAGATAGCAGCATAAGTACAAGCACCGTTGTCCACAATATACAATGCAATTTCACTAAAGCTAAAAAAACATCAACAAATGAAAGACACTAACACAACTTACGATCTACCCACACCATGGTTGACCACATGCCAACTACATATGTCACAAATATGATTTTTATTATCGCATCAAAATAAGAAAGTACATAAAAAATTTCGATGACCATTAACATACACGTAGAAGGAAACAAACCTACTTATAAGAGCATACAGATTCTTCAAAGTGGTAATGGAGTATAGAATCTGTGACTAAAATAACAAAGCCACGCTATATCTACCTCAAAAGCTTGCCACAATTCAGTTCAAGTTCATAAATTAATATGTCAAATGCTTCTATTTAGCTGGGTGGGGTGGATGGAAAGCCTCGGCAACTATTCTTCTACTCACCATAAATTGATTAGTATCAAGTGGAATAAACTATAAACACGTGAGACACTCCAAATTGCTCTGTTACACTCAAGTAATAGATATTGTCCTTTCATGTCTTTATGTGCAAGATGATAATCTTGCAATGGGGTAATGAAGTATTATTATACGTTCAAAACTTACAAGCCACAACTAGGTACTCATACTACAAGAGCATTGCTGGGCATTTGGTACCAAGCTACAGTCCCCAGAGAGCACTAATCATTATCTCATATTTCCTCCATGGAGAAGTTCCTCCTAAGAATTAACCTTAAAGTAGTAAACAAAGGATCTGGTTATGTCTCTGCTATCATGAGCTGCTTGAGACAGGCAAGGAAGAACAATTGCTATAGTTGGGCATCTTTGAGCTTTAGCATTATAATGTAGAAGCTCTTTGAACTAAAGAACCAAACAGAAAACAATTCATGTTTTCCCATGAGTAGCTACATACCTTGAAGCAAATAGAGCACAAATCAACAAAAGAGAAAAAGAGAAAGAGAGTCAAGCAAGCTCTATGCCAGAAAAGTCCATTGATCCAACTAAGCTACAAGAAAAAATTTGAAGGCAGAAGATAGTTTTGTGATGTGGTAATCAACCATAAGTGACTTTAGAGATAACAATACCTATAACCATATAAAATGATAGTTTGTCACATCAGATTCAATTTAATGATGCTATAACCCTACTTAACAGGAGAAATCAACACATTAACAGCAATGAAGTGTAGAGACTTGTGACAAAAATTTTATACTGCAAGAACAAAACCAAATCAAGTAAGCTAGAGGGAAAAATTACATATACCTATCAAGAGGAAGGATCAACTTATACTAGTGTAGGTCAAAAACATACTTAGATCATCTAATAACTTTACTGGACAATTATTTTAAAAAACCCATCATTGGATGAAAGCTCATATAATATTGATCATACATATTTATAAAATTTTACATAAATCCAAGACTATGTCGTACTTGATTGATATATATCAAGAAGAATGCTATGTAATACATTTAAAATACATGAAAATAAGAACCTTTTAATTATATTCTTATTGTTTTTTAATTTTTGAAAGATTTGACACCAATCCATGCAATGCATTCTTATAACTCAACAGTTGGATGATGAAAATTGCATTCCATACAAAGTTATGAATGGTTTTGACTTGAACTGAACTGGTATAAATATATCCCTCCTCTTCAATCTAAATGATAATCAACTCATTATTTTAGCTTTAAAATATGTAGGAAAATTATTATTTAACCATATCCCTTGAAGAAATTGATCTAATTTGACCACACCTCAAAAGATGAAATTTTATTGAATAAAATAAGCAATACAAATAAACTACAAATATACCTAGTCCTGCCTCGGTTAGTTAAATTCACCAAGGATGATTAACATTTCAATAGCCATGATGAAATGCATTTCAAATCTCAAAATCAGGAATCATCAATGTTTCAAAATTACACAACCTCAGCTTCATTTAGGAGTGGTTGTGGATGCTGGGGTCAGGTTGATATGAGACTTATCTGCTTGGTGCACACTATCAGTATTCTCGGCATCAGCTTTCTCAAGCAAAACTTGTTGCTGCATTGCTTTCAACATCTCCTTCAAAGTCTTCTCTTCTTCTTCTAGCTGCATTTCCATCATCTCAGATTCCTTCTGGTTGGTTTCAGAGTTGTCAACTTGACCCATACTTGCAAATTTTCCTGCTTCAACTTTTTGAAGGGAAGCTTGTTCCTCCAGTGCTTTCATCATCATCTCTGAAGTTTTCTCTTCCCCTTGTAGTTGCATTTTCATTATAATCTCAGCTTCCTTGTCAAGGGGCTTGAAATATTCTTCAATGGCTGCCTCCTACATGATTTTTTCATATTGTTATGCAACAAATTTGAGAGCCACAAATGAATAATCATGGAACAGAAACCAATATCAATCATATAACGACTTTTAGATAACAGACAAATATCTTAAATAAGACAATTATGACAAAATACAAATATTTCTATACCCCCAAAATACCTAAATGAAAGACTATGAATCATCCAATTTTAATATCAGCAAAAGAAGAAAAAAATTGCATTTCACACAGAAATGCTCTATGAATGCTAATATAGCTTAAGGAATAAATAATAAAATAAAACTTCTTGTTTAGAAGACATTGTGCCTTCATATTCACAAGTGAAGGAAAAGGATTGAAAATTTCAAAGAAAATTCAAAAAGGAATGCATGTATTTGAATCCTAAATCCCCAAAATTTTTTATTTCCCATGAAAATACAACTTACTGTTTCTTCTAGCTTCTTGTTCAAAGTTTGCATCTCTTGAACCATACGACGAATCTCAGATAAAATAATCTGCTCAGGTACTTTATTTATGGCTGCCTTCCTTGCTTGTGCCTTTTCATGGGGGAACATCATACATATCAAAATCGAAATAAGAAGATACCAAATATTAAAGGAAATTTTGAGGGCAAGCAGTTGTTGAGTAAAGAGGAAATCACACATCTTCCTTCACCACCATGAAAAAGTTCAATTCTTATTTCTCCCATGTGAATAGGGTCTGAGCAACAGGAAAAAAGAAAAAACATTGTTGTAATATCTTCAATACCTTGCTTTACATATTTTTATAATACTGTTATATAAGCCCAAAGAAAAGCTGACTGTTCTTCACAATGTACTACTTGTTCAAAGACAAAGGATCAACATGATGAAGCCTTATTAACTACAAATAAAAGTTCAAAATGGCTCAGTACCCTTATTGTATCTAGAATAAGACATGAAGACATGCCTCAGATTTGCGATGGCTATAACTGAACACAACTGATCACCCATGTTTGACATGAACAATACTAAACTAAACTAACCTTTTCGAAAGCTTAAATGCATCACATGGTTCACACCTGCTGTTTACCAAGAATGGATTGGACACAATTCTTCCCTTCTCTCTAACATTAGGCAGGTTTCATTTGATTTTTGAAATGAGACTATCTTCTTGGCTATTGCAATTTTCAAAGATACCCAACTTCATACGAAATCCGAGGTCCCAGCTGAGAACATTCGTGTCTCATTTCATTTTGTTTCATTTTATTGTGTTTTCGAATTAAAGGGAACAAAAACTAACAAGAATATAAATGTTCATGACTAAATGTAAAATATGTCAGACCTGTTGTACACGTTGCTCAAGCTGCAGCCTAAAAGATCGTATTCTTCGCTCTTCATATCCAGAAAGCACTCTGACGTAAAAGAGGGCTTTCCTCCCAAAGTCTAATAACTTATTCATGTTGTCAAATCATCAACAACTAGTTTCAGAATTTTCTGCAAAAAGGAACCCACCTCAGAGTTGCTAGAAAAAAAATTATTGAATATTGATTCAGCTGATAACTTTTGAAACAATTAACTAATGAAGCCATAGAGCTGCCAAATTGAATCATACCTAGGTTAACTTATGATAGAAACTGGTACCAATGATAAGAAAAGTGAATCTTCATTGAGAGGAAAACTCAATTCCAGCCCAACTCCCAATGTGGAAGCAGAACAACAAATCAGGAAAATGACACACAGCAATAACTCCCCTGGATAATCGAGAGACCAGGAAACTTTCCCACAACTGAATTATTATTACTCCCTCCACTCTCTCTTTCCCTCTCTATTATTTTTACTGTCTCTTCTATTTACAACTCTGTAACTAACTAACAAAAGTTCTCACTAACAGTCCCAGCCCAACAAACTAACCAACCAACTCTAACTAACTAATTATTCTACTAACTAACTAGATAGGAGTTATCTATCAAATTATCACCAATGAAAAGACACAAACCTCATAAGTTCATAACTACAAGTAGAAAGCCTTATTATCCCTAAAGTTTGATCCTCTGGGAAAAAAGATTTACGAAGCTTACAAGATATTGAACTGTACAAGTAACAGGAACTGAAAGAATTACAGATGAAAACTGACTCCATAGCCCAATACTGATAGACCTCATACAATAGCAACAGAAGGACCCAGAGAAAGACAAAAGCATGATTAGTCACTAAACTTAGCAATTGTCAATAGACAAACAAAGAGAAAATCATTTAAAACTTGAGAACACATACCAGCAAGATTAACTCCTTAAGAGCCACACACTCAGCATAAGAACACAAACAATGGAGCACAAATTTCATCAGGACCTCATGACAAAATTTCTAAATTTGCAAGAACACAACAGAGGCTTGGAGGAAACAGGTGAAGTTTATACTCCACAGGGAACCACTGCATTCAAACATGCTCTAAACTACCTGAATGCTAACTTAGCAAACCACTGACTCACCCAAACTACACATTTCTTCAAAATCTCAACCCAAAAATGTAAAAACCTTTGCACAACCATATTTTAGAAGTATTGACAAAAAAAAACAAACAAAAAAACATATTTTAGAAGTCATACGATTTAAAATATTGAAACATTTTATAAACCTTAATATCCTCAAACGAATTACAAAATAGGGTCATGAGAATTGAGATATCATGTATATTCTAAGTTCCTGATCAGGTTAACAATAGGAAAAAGTTAAACACCAGTGCTCCCAGAAATTTGGCATATAAAGGTATAGGTCATCCATTGTGTCAAAAAATTAAGGTGGCCATGAGAACCGCGAATTTTATATGCATTTTTTTCACATTTCTTTCACAGTGAATGAAAAACATGGTTTTCCAGATAAAACATGCGTACTAAGCAGAGTCTGTTTATCTGAAGATTATTGTAGTGTTTGGATACAGGATTTTAAAATCCTAAAGAATTCAAAATGCATGAGAATTTAATGGCTTTAATTTAATTCCAATCAATGTTAAAACCTTTTGTTTAGACAGAGCAATTAACTCAAGCATATGTTAAATTGCATTACCATCCATTAAACAGACCTTCTAACACGCTAAAGATCAATCTTAAAAAATGCAAAAACCACTATATTTGGGAAAAAAGAAAGAGCAATTATTATTAAATGCCAAATTTCATATTCTATCTCAGTAAACAAAATAAATATCTCACAGTTCATACTAAGTAGTGCACCAAATCAAAGCAAAGGAAACCCTATCTGAAGCATTTCTTCAAAGATATATAACACAGAATGGCATAAATGAGATAGTTTATGTTTATAAAGTGAGAATCAGTGATCGGAGGGGGAAAAATATTTATCAAAACGCTGACTAGTGAATATGAAATTAATAAACAACAACAAAGTCTTATCATCAAAACACTGACTAGTGAATGTGAAATTAATGGTTAAACTAAGAAGAAGAATTGGGCAAAATTGGCGGTTCAATCACTGGGAGATTGTAATTTGTATGCAGAACAGCAAAAGACAGATTAAAAAATAAAAACAATAAAATAAAATCCGTCGAAGATGGCGTGGGTAATACTGTGAGAGATTTACCTGATCTGAGACGAAGAGAGGTTGAGAATAGTGAACGAGAGAGACAAGACAATCAGGCGAGGGCCGTCAAGGTTCAATAGAACCGGAGTGAATCAGTTTTGGTCTTCAAATTGTAAATGATAATTTACATTACTCTGATTTTAATATTTTATAAGATGTGATAAATATTTTATACTTTAATGTCTCTCCATAGTCCATTCTGACCAAAGTTTTATCTCTATTTTTTTTATTTTAAAATTAAATCTTTTTTAACTTTTTCTTTTTTTTAATTATAATATATTATTTAATGATCATACAAAATCCTATAAATTTTCTACTGTATATAAAAATATTTCATTAAATTAATAATATAAATTTATTATTATATTTATAATGTAAAAACTTATTATTTAGATTTTTATAAATTTTTCTATAACCAGTATGTATATTAGAATTTTTTATTTAATTAAAAATTATATAATAATTCAAAATTTTGATCATAATTTTATCATCATAAATATATACATGTAATCAAAATAAAAAACATTACAAGATATATTTAAAATATTTATTTATGATAATTAAATTACATTATAACTAATTATGAATAAAAAATATTTATCTTAAAAAACATATAGACTTAAGGTTTTCTCGAGGTTCTAAAAAATCTTTTCTCATTTTAAGAAAGGGGCAAGGGACGCATTGCTAGGGTTTCTCATCCTAGATGGTCTGAGGAGTTTGAAGAGTTTTTACATATTAGAGACTAGTAAAGACGCATCAAGACTTAGAATGTTGGCTCTTAACCTTTGCCTATAGGACTTCTAAGAGATTGAGTATCATGAGACAGAGAAGCATTCAATAGAGAAGTTGGACCTAATGGATTAGAGTACAAAGAAGGTAAAGATGGATTATGGGGACTTAATGGAAGCTCAAAACTGGTACATGCAAGACGAGCAACTAAGATCTGAAGCTAAACAAGGCTTTATCTAACCCTTCTATTTCTTAGACTTTTTCCTATAAAGATAAATTGCTAGAGTCAAAGCACTTAGTCTTATTCTAAATGATGATGAAATTGTAAAATCTATATTAGATGATTTTAATATTACATCTAAAACTAAGGATAATGAAGAAATAACTAATAAAAGTCAGAATCTTTGTCCTACGCAAATCTATTCATTTTAGTTACCTAAACCTGAAGCTAAGTAGTATTTTTTTTGGAAGGGGGTGGGGGAGAATGAATTCTTTCTAGTTAAGAGTGTGGAAGACTATAAGTATGCTTTCTTTGAGGGCCTTGGCTAATCTTAGATCACTATCTCTTTGTACTTGCATTACCAACACCACTACTTGCTTCTCCATCTTGAATCAAGTTCTCATCTAAATTTGCTAAAATAACTTGATAATTTTTGTGTGTCCCTTTGATCAGATGTATCCCTATATATACACATCACTGAGGCGATATTACAACCTCCTCTCATTCCTAAAATACACCTATAACTATTCTATTTTAATTCATTTATTAGCAAGTCAAATATATACTATGTCAGATTTGGATTTGATATACTCTATCAAAGTTCATATATGAATTAGGTCATTATCCTCCTTTACAATCCAATCATCTTCAGAAGCAATATCTTCAATGTCAAATTTAGGCTCCTTCCTCCTCTTGATACTATTGCCCAATTTTGAGTTTGTCATGACAAATACAACATCATTCATTGCTTTTTGCTTTAAACAATTTCTTTTCTTGGTGTCAACTTAAATATCAGCAACATTAATTAATAATTTAATATAATAATTAAAGCAGTCTACTTGTTAGTTTTAAGAAATAACTTACTTACCATTTCAAAAGCACTCTAATTACACCACAATTAGATGAGCTACATGTCAAGTTCAATACACAAATGGCAAATCCTTGTAACTAACGATGTTCTCCACCATAAAATTCCACCATTGTGCTGGAGTTTTCACTTTCATTCTAGTAATTGCTACTTTTGTACCAAAATATCATTTTTTAACTTTGAAATACTCTAGTTGACCGTCAATCTTATTATCTTCATTCATGTCTTCTACCTTTCTTTCTAAACACTCATATAATCCACGCTTAACTTCAAAATCAGCTTCAAAATCTGTAGCATAATGCAAAATTGGGTTAAGGTAGTAGCCTGCAGCATGCAAAGGTCTATGCAATTGGTTTTCCCATCTTTCCTCAATTATCTCCCATAATGGCATGAAACTAGAGATTAAATAAATAAAAAAAAAGAATTTCTAAACCAAAGTTATAAATTATCAAATTAAACTACACTTAATATACCTTTTTTTAACAACATTGAAGTTGGTTTGAATCTTTTATTGGCTCAATCCATTTCCTCATAAATGAAACCCACGGCTAGTTTGTCCTCTAAATCCACCAGATACAACACTCTAATTAAGGGATAAGCATCAATTAAACAATTTAGAATATCTTTCTAAAACTCCTTATTTATAATTAGACTTTCAACAACTATTCCATTCTTAGTTTTGGCAAACTTACTATCCTTCCATTCTTTAGATGTAAACATTCTCAATAATGATCGTATATTATCATTCAAGCATCCTAAAGTCAAGTAAAAAGTTACAAAACGTGTAGCTGGAAGTCTAATTAAATTTGTACCTTGAGTAAAGCTATGCAATAAAGATATAAGACTAATTCTAAAATAGATGTAAGTTGTGATTTTTTTCCTGTTTGCAATAGTTATTTTATGTAACGATATCTTCTTCTCAAAATCCTCCAACATAAGATCAATGCAATACGTAGCACAAGGTGTCTAATAAAGTCTTTCCCTCTCTCCATCAACATTTCTCCTACTGTCTTATAATTTGCAGCATTATCTGTCACAATTTATAGCATATTTGCTTCTTCAACTTCTTGAACAACATTATCTAATCATCTTAAAAAATTTGTCTGTTATTTTGCATATGTCAGATGCATCAATAGACTTCAAAAACATAATTCTTGCTGGACTATTTACCAAAAAATTAAGTATTGTCTTCCTCATTTTGTCGGTCCATCCATCAGTGATGATGGTGCATCCTATTTTTTTTTTCATGTAGCTTTATGCTTTTCCAAAATGCTATTTGTCTCTTCAACTTTTTGCTTCAAATATTTTATCCAAATCTCATGGTAGGATGATGACTTAAATCCAATACCATTTCGAGCAATCTCCTCACATATCTTTTTAAATTCTTTACTCTTCACAACATTGAAAGATATTGCATTATTGTAAAAAAAATGAAGTAATTTCTAAACATGCATCCTCTCTCAAATCTTGCTTAAAAATTGAATTAATTGTAGCTTGGGTGGTCACTCCCTTTTTCTTGAAAAGAGTTGTTGGACTCTCAACATCACCTTATATTTTTCTTTTGTCCACATTTTCAAATTCAGCAGCATCACTTTTTATTGTCTTTCCTTCAAGCTCTTACTGTGTTTTTTTTTTAATGATTTTTTCTTGCAATTTAACAACAATGTCCTATATTTGCTTTCGAACATCATCAGGGACAGTCATGCAAGCTCCAACATTTTGCTTTGTTCTTGCCAAATGATGTTTGATACGATGAACTCCTCCAGTATATTTGTTTTTACAATATTTACATTTAATACTTCTAGCATCTCCAAAAACAGAAACACTATGATTCCACGCCACATCATTTCTTGTTCCAGTATTATTGTTTGATTTTGATCTCAAAGTTTCATTTCTACCAAAAATTCCACTCCCTGCAGCTCCACTTGATTGAATCCTTTTTCCTTTTCCACTACCACCAACTTTATTCCTAATATTGGCCACCATGTAGCAATGAAAGAACAAAAATAGAGGAGAAATGAAGAACTGAGACCCACCCATGTAGACCACCACACAAAATTGAGACTCACCCACGGAGAACTGTGAAACAAAGCAACAAATGAGAATAGCAAACAACAACCAACATAAAATCAATGAGAAGAATAAAGGAAAGATTGAGATATTATCACACAGAACAGCAAACACCAACCAACCAGAACAGCTGAAAGCTTGAAACCCACATTGTAGAAGCTACAAAATCAAAACCCAAATAGAGAGAAGATGAGAAATTGTGTGTTGTTGACTTGTTGCACGAGGAGCCGGTTCAAAACAGAGAAGATGAGAGAATGGATGTTTTCGCATGGAAGATAACTCAAGAATGGGTAAAAAAAATGCCCTAGAACTATTTTTAAAAACTAGGTCACAAAAACCCGACCCAGAAACTCAACTTGCAAAAACCTAACCTATAAACCCAAGTTCAAAAACTAACCCAGAAACCCAAGTACCATGATCGAGTTGGACCGGATCGCCAATCCTATGATCCTAAGGAGGAAGATTAGGATCTTACCCGATCTTGTTGTTGTCTGATCCCAGATGAAAAATGCTTGGAGTCATTGAGAGTGGAGGTCACTAGCAAAAACAAAGAAAGCTTCTTTGGAGTTTAAGCAAGTGATTGGGAACGTGTTCGAAGGATAGGAACTTTGATCATTATTTTCCTTGAGGAATCATCCTACTTTGCATTCTTCTTTCATATTTATGGAGTTTAATACCTTTGTTTTGATTGTTTATTTTAGGATGAATAACTAAATTCATAACTAAGACTATAATAGATCCTTTGCATTAATTTGTGTAATCATTCTGTTTGATAATAATTTCAACTTCCGTTTGTGATTGTTTTTTATTCTAGTGCGTATATTTGTATGTTAGGAATTGACCACTTCTAGCATGTTGTAATTAATTACATAGTAGACAATCATACCATGTTTAGTTAATGAACTCATAGAATAAAATGAGATATGAATTAGGTAGATCAAACTTAACTTTTCTCGTCTAATCGTTATTTAATTAACAATTTCATAGGTGTTTCATAATTTCTTATCTTTTTACCTTGCATGATCATTGAGGATAATAATTTAAAGAAAAAAAACGTTAACATTGCATAATCGTTGGCATTAATAAAATTTGTATGAGTGATTAATAATTATAAAGAAATCAAAATTAGAATTAAGTTAAAAGAAAACATAAAAGCGAACTCATAAGCCTTATGTTCTCTTCCAATTAGTAATCAAAAGTGTGTTTCTTCACTATTTTTAATCTGCTTAATTAGT